CGTTATCTTCCACTGATTGAGTTCAATTATAAAAATAGCTTTCGCTCCTGTAATGGAATGGGACCTTTCGAAGCATTGTATGGTCGAAGGTGCAGAACGCCTTTGTGTTGGTATGAATCTGGTGAAAGTGTAGTACCCGAACCTGAAATTGTGAGAGAAACTACAGAGAAAGTGAAATTAATTCAAGAAAATATGAAGGCCTCGTAGAGTAGGAAAAAGAGTTACCATGACAAGAGGAGGAAGTATCTTGAGTTCCAAGAGGGAGACTATGTATTCCTGAGAGTATCTCTAGTAACTGTTGTAGGTTGTGCTTTGAAGTCGAAGAAGCTGACTCCTCGATTTATTGGTGCATATCAAATTTCAGAAAAAGTGGGGAATGTTGCGTATAGAGTGGCCTTGCCACCTAATCTGTCAAATTTACATGATGTGTTCCATGTGTCACAACTCCGAAAATAAATTTCAGATCTGTCGCATGTAATCTCGATGAATGATGTACAAGTGCGGGATAATCTTACTGTTGAAACCGTACTTGTGAGGATCGAGGATCGTGAAATAAAGAAGTTGAGGGGAAAAAAGATCACTCTTGTGAAAGTGGTTTATGAAGGAGCTGCTGGAGAGAATGCGATATGGAAATTAGAGAGAAAGATGCGATAGGCTTATCCAGAGTTATTCGCATCAGGTAATTTTCGAGGACAAAAATATTCTAAGTGGGGGAGAGTTATAACACCCCAATTTAGTTGAACTATTTTATTTAAATTAATTATATGATGTGTTGTATTTGTGATTCATTTTGTTTGGAATTAGAGACCTTAGGAATTATTGGAGTTGAGATAATGGGGGTGTATGACCAAAAGTGTAGAAACATGAGGTGTAGAGAGATAACTAGTTATTAGCATTATTTGGATTAAAATATTAGATTTTATACTATCGTATAATAAATAAATAGAATTATTATTATTTTATAGTTAATTAGATAATTACTTATTTAATTGGGAAGGGAAAGGTTGATATTATGATTTAGGGACCTTAGAATAAAATAAAGTGAGAATAGAGAAGAGGAAAAACAACGTAGAATAAAAGAACAGAGATGGTCGTAGAAGAGAGAAGAAGAGGAAAAAGTTAGGGCAAGAAGGTTCATCGTAGGAGTCAAGAATCGACAAAATCTAAGGTAAGGGCGGGGTTATAACACTATAATGGACTACATAACAACAAAGTATAGTATTGTTTAGGTCCCATGAATTTGTATTCTTGATTATCTCTATTTTTGCTTAATTGAGGTTTTCCCATTGATGAATTCTTTGATGCATTTTGTGTGTTATTGTTGAAATTTGATGAAGAATATTAAATGGAATTGATAAGAAATGTTGGTGAATAATTAGTTTAATTAGAAGATACTATTTTGGTTGAAATGTTGGGGATTGAGGTTTTATAACATGCTTTTTCGTAACCTGCAAAATTGTAGATTTTTGAATTCTGCAGCAGGTGTAACCGGGTATGGTATAGTTACCTTGTGAAATTTTGGGCAAACTGGGTAAAAATATGAACGTGTATCTGAGTATGACATAAATGGGAATCGGTTACCCAAATGGACAGTAGCGTTGTAATTCTTAATGAGAGGGGTGTAACCGGTTACACTTCAGGCAGTAATCGGTTACCACTGAAATGTCAGTTTTTCCAAAATTTGTAAATTACATAACTTTCTCCTCTGGTGTCCATTTGACACGCCGTTTGGACCGTTGTAAAGCTAAAATTATTTTATATCTTATAAAAATAAATTTTGAACACAATAGCTAACTATTTGACCAATATTTATACATATCTGTGTATATTCCTGAGCAGTTAACTATGAATTATGTTGCGATTGAGTAATATGATATTGTATGATTGGTTTGGTTTTTTTGCATAATGTATTGCATGATGATGATGATGATGGTGATTATGATGATGGCCTGTATTGGCGTGACATTGATGAGTATTATTATCATTGTAAATTAAGTTGTTGCATGTCAGTGTCGCATGCATATATGAAAAGATGGTATGTATTGGCGAAAGATTGTCTGTATTGGCGAAATATGTCCTATATTATCAAAAGATGGTTTGTATGGGTGAAAGATGGCCTGTATTGGTGTTATTATATTGTTGCGCTAAGTTGGCATTATTAAGATGAAGGTTTTTCCCTGTTGGTACCACATGCATTGAGTTAGTATCGGTCTCATTGCATTACATTATAACTGTTAACTTGATGTTTTGATGCCAAAAGAATATGATCCATATTATGATGAGTTTTATGTGTTGTGTGTATATTCACTTGTATGTTGATATAATTTTGTGGTATGATGAATGAAGTAAAGGTGTGAGGTATAAAAATATATTTATGCGTACTTAAATTACTATCTACTCATTATTATAATCACTTTTATATTATTATGATATCTCACCCCTTCTGTTTGAATGTTTCCTCTACGTGGATAACATGCAGATGATCTCAAGTAGCTCAACGCGAGATTAGCTGAGAAGTGCCTCATTTTGCGTAGATTGAGTCGGTGTCAGCTCTAACACATAACACTTGGGGGGTTTTTCCCTTGTTTTACTATGATGGGAGTAAACTATTGTAGAACTCCATTTTTTGGATTTTAATTGATGTTTTATGTTGAATTTTGAATTATAATAACTATAACTCATATTGAAGAGTTAAGAATAACTGTTGTTGATGTTTTTCCGCTGTGAATAAAGAAATGAAGTTTAGACTTGGTGAAGTTGTGATCATGTGTTGCGTATCTTATTATATGAGCATGTGTGTATGTATGAAGATGTGACATCCTATTTTTGATGTTTTTATTTTATGAATTAATTCACTCTGATTTTTGGTTAAATTACCGACAGAGAAATAGGGTGTTACACCAGATACTCGTTTATCGCTTTTTATAGTATAACATGTTTAGGAAACTCTTCATTTGTATAATTACTATACCATTCATTCTTTTTGCATTACTTTCTCATGACTTGAATCACTTTAGTTCCCTTTTTACCCCTAAATGTGAAGAAGCTTTTCATTGTTCATATATGCTGGAGGCCATAATTCTTATTTTAACTAGATTTCATTATGTTTAATCTTTTGTTTATGTTGATTGTATGAAATCATGAAAAAGATCAAGGCATTTTGTTTGATTTTGAGCACAACTACCTAGTCAAATAGTTATTTCACCTTGTGAGTGTGTGAACTTTTGTTAACCCCTTCTGAGTCTTTTTGTCAATGTCCGTGTTATTTTTGAACTTAATGCTTATCTATGAGTGTTTGGTGTTCCTTTTTTAATAGACATTGATTCTTTGTTTTCTTGAACCCTTAACTATGATTTTTAGTTGAATTTTTGTCTTGCCTTTGAAAGTAAGGAGTATTTACTTTAATGTTGGTTGAATTCAAGTTGGGGAGATAGTTGTTTGCTTGCTCTTGTGTGTATTACTACGAGGTTGTAAAAAAAATGAAAAGGAAAGATTCGAAAAAAGAAAGAAAAAAATTGGAAAACCTTTGAAAAAAATAGAAAAACTAAAAGAGTATGGAATTATGTCGTGTTAATAAGTATGGTGTTTTGGTTTTTGAAATTTTGGATTATGAAGAAGTTTGATCAGAATTTTGTGTGTGAACTTTTGTGAGTTGATCACTCCCTTAGGTTTAGCCAAGTTTTTATTTCGATTAGTTTTATGACTTATATCTTGTTTGTTAACCAAGCCACATTACAACCTTGAAAAGTCCTTGTGATTCTAGCCTTTGTATGTTCAATGTGATTTTTGGATGAATGCATAATTTAGTCTTTTGGTTGCAAGATTGTTTGATTAGTGTCAAAGTACCTCTCTTTTCCGTGTTCTTCATCTACCGATGATTTTTTTCTAGGCGTGATTCATGATTGAGTTTGTTTTGTTTTAGAATGTTTAGTATGATTTTTGTACTTAGGATTCGTTTCGTTTTCATGTTGTCATTGCAGGATGGTGGTAAGTATTTGTCTTGCGTGTGCGTTTTTGTTTGAACCATACATTTGTTTTCGTTTTTCAAACTGTTGATTCATGGTTCTTTGGTTGAATCAATAGTGAATCTAGCAAGGGATCTTAAAACTTCAAGATTATTTAAGAGAGGAAATGTGAAATCTCGTATGGTCCCGTTTTTAGTGATCAGTGTCTTATAAAAGAATATGATTATCTCATGATATACTAATAAGACTCTCACAAACACACTAAAATGTTTTATAAGCCTTTTTGCTTTTATAAAATCACCAGAAAATATTTTATGTAAGGTTAGCATTCCAACACTTAAATTAGTATGAGAATTAGAGGAGTGAATTAGATTCGAATTCAAATTGTATTTGAAAAATGGCATGCTAACTCTTATATAATAGACCGATCATAATAATTTGCTAATCTTTAAGCGCGGAATACCGGGATCCATATGATAAATCTTTGATTCAGATCACCTGCACTCTAGACTAGAATAATGTTTATGCTCTGTGATGATAAAGTGAATTAGTGTATTCTCTTGATCGTAGCTATAAGACCTTCTGATCGGCCTAGAACACATTGAATCCAATTATAAACTAAGTTACAATGTCACGTCTACTAAGTGTGCTACTTTTCCTTTAATATTTATTATATTTTCTTTTTTTTTTCTCGTATTAATAATAAACAATAATTTTGTAAAACAACTAAAAATTTATTTTCCATATTAAATAAATTTAATTTTGGTGATATTTATGAATGTTGCAAAATTATTTTTGTTTAGAAAAGAAGAAAAAAAGAAGCTAAATTTACGTACATTGTCGTATGTCATGTTAGATCTCTCTCATTTTTGTTCCTCTTAGATCTATCATCTCTCTATTCCATTTCATATGCGGTTATGAATGTAATATAAGGTTCTTCTCTTTCTAGTTATATTTCCTTTTTCGTCTTCGGTGCTTTAGATTACTCTAATCTTGTTTGTTGATGTTGTTATAGGCTTCACATTTTGTTAAGTAATGACAAGAAGACAAGCAAGTTCCACGAGACGCAGTGGTGGAACCTTTTCCTTTTCAGGAGTATTCAATTCCAAATCTAAATCTTCTCCATTACTCTCCATAATCCCTGTCCTTTTGGTAATTTCTTATATGCATCTTTCTTTCTTGGTACAATGCTTCTGTTTCTATGATTATGGTAATTAATCCTTTTTTAATTTTGGTTTAAATTCTCAGGGAGCTTTCTTTCTCATTTTTTATGCTTTTGGTGGATCAGGTAACATGATTTAAATAACTTTCTCATCATACAATTCTTTATTAAATACATTTTTTTAGCCTCCCATGCAGAGCCGTCTTAAATTTTATGAAACTTTGAATATGGTAGTCACGTTCAATCATGTAAAATATTCAGAGGCTCTATTTAATGACAGTTTTGCTACCGTTTAACTGTGACTAGTTTAAAGTCTTGTATAGTAGTCTGTCTTGTACGCCTTTAAAGACAGATTTTATGTATATTTATGGACCGACTAATCCTATGTTTTTAAGTGAACAGGTCTCTTTAGAGGAAAGAAGAATGTTGTTATCAGGGCTGAAGGTACAACTATACAACCATGTTTCCGGATTTAGCAATTTTGTTACTGATTTAGCTATCGGTTTATCTGTCATAATGTGTAAAATTGTTCTTTTGCATGCATATTGTTTTAGAAAGGAATATACTAATTTGTTCTTTCTTGCAGGTGATTTTTCATGCACATTTGAAGTTGAAAGTGCAATTCCTGTTTTGAAGAATGTATACGGCAACAACATGAAAAATATCTTGCATGTTGGCCCAGAGAGTTGTTCAGTAGTATCAAAATTGTTAAGAGAAGGGGAATTTGAAGCATGGGGTGTGGATCCATATGACATAGAAGATGCTGATAGAACCTGCAAGGCTCTAGTGCATAGAGGCGTCGTACGTGTTGCGGATATAAAATATCCTCTACCTTACAGGCCAAAGTCTTTCTCTCATGTCATAGTATCAGATGCTTTGGATTACATCTCTCCCAAATACTTAAACAAAACTCTTCCTGAGCTAGTAAGGGTATCTGCTGATGGTATCATTATTTTAGCAGGTACTTCATTTTGAAAGTAAATGCGATCTCTCTCACACACTCATGAACATGAATGGTTATATTTCTCTGTATTTTGAATGTGCTACATCTTTCAATGATTTTCACTTTATGTTGAGTTTTTGGTACACCTTTAAAGTAAGCATAGCAAATTCAGTGATTGCTGGTACATAAAATATTGTACCAAACTGAATCTTTTTGTGGTCTAGTAGCTTAGAGGTTGGAATTTCACCTCTTAAAAGGTGAATAAGTGGGATGTCACATATTTGAACCCGTACAACTGTAGTTGGATGTCCCTATACAGCTATCAACTGAGCTGATTTAACGGGACTCGAACAAACTAATTTTTGAATAACTACTTGTTTGTTCATGTCATTTCAATTTAAATTGTTTGTTCCAAAATTTGGGAGCTTTCTTGTGTTTCAAGGTTCCCCTGGACAACAGAGAGAAGCAGCACAGTTATCCAAATTCGGACGCCCGGTAAGTGGCTTTCTCTTGTGATGGCTAATGCAATTAGAGCTACTTTAATTAATAATAAGAATAATATCCTAAAAAATTTTGAGATATTATTTCTTATCATTGTTGGTGACAACAAACAATTCTGCTTTGATTGTGAAGGCGAAAATGCGGAGTTCGACTTGGTGGAAAGAATTTTTCAGTGAAACAAACTTAAAAGAAAATGAAGTTGCTGTCAAGAAGTTTGAACAAGCTGCATCTAAGATGTCTTACAATCCAACCTGTCAAATTTTCCACATCAAATCATACAACTGATATATCTTGAAGTTTGAGTAAATGTTTATTCTCCATATTCACCATTTGGTCACTTTTGTATTCCTATAAACATGTAAGTATAATGTCATTAATTAAGCAATTTTGTTTTTACCACTTATAGACAAGCATTAAGATGCCTGCTTGCTAAAAGAATAGTCACAATTAAAATTAATTAATATGTTTATAATTCTCAAGTGTCTTTAAAGTTTTTATTTATGAGTTCTTAAAGGGTTGTTTGATCAAACTGTACTATTCAAAACAAAACAAAAACAATACACATTTGATATGAGAAAACAAAAACGATAACGCTTCAATACAAAAACAACCTAATTAACCACCATATATGTCTCTTATTTTCCTCCCCTTCCAAGTAATCCTGCAAAGCTTTCCAAATTCACAACTATCTTTTGAGGTATGCTAGCATAAACTTCCAATAAATTAAATAACTCAGTCCAAATAATCTTCAAGTAAGCAGCACAATTACAAAATAAATGAGAGATGGATTCACTCTCTTCACACCCCAAAGGATAACTCTCTCTACCCGCCCTTAAAATTCCTTTTTTTCCCTAAGATTATCTCTTGTAGGCAGTTTGTTTTGCAACAATCGCCACAAAAACGCTGAAATATTACAATGGAAAATTCTGTTCCAAATCAGTTGCTAAAAGGGAAAGCAACATTGACACTCCTAACAAAAATGACAATTTCTTAATGCACTTTTATATTTTCTTAGAGACCCTTAACGAAATTTCTGTAATATTCTCTTATTTCATATATGTATATTTGAATTCACCACATTATAGTTTTTATTGAATAGGTTCAGAGATGCATATCCGAAGCTACTAAATGGTAACTTTCAGACACATATATCTAAAATAAATCCGGATTTCCAAACAGAAACAAAAATCTTAAAACCAAAGCAACTTAACATAGATTTAACATAGATAGTCGAAATTACGTAGATAATGGAATATAAATTTAACATTACATATTGTTATAAGCGGGTAGCTGAGGACGTCGCAACATTTTGATAACATCTTCTCCCGATCTTTGAAGCTTCACATCCAATTCAATCGGACCCTTAGTAGAGTATCAGTGAAAAATACTCCACATAAACTTTAAATCGTCATCCGTCTTCAGTGCAAATTGGGTGAACTTTATCTTTCCTTCAGTGTAAAGAGAGGCTGAGCAATACTCGAGCTTGACCACCTTTCGATTTTCTGGATATTGCAGGATAAAATTCAATATGGTAATCGACTCGACGAGAGGCGTGTCCTCGGAGAACCTAAATTGATGTGACGATTTCTCACCACTGAAATAGACAAAAGTAAGGTGAGGATATGTTTAACTCATCTCTGTTTGTGGTGTGTGATGTTGAAGAAATGGTTTGGACACCCTATTTATAGAAGATTTGGAACAACTTGAAACAAATAATTTTCATCCTACCATCAGGGCATGTTTCAGATATTAATCTCTGAATTTACCTTTTTTTACGAAAATAGGGGGATTCCAGAGATACATATCCGAAATAACCCCTATTGTTTTTTTAGATAATAAATGTTATTTCGGATATGCATATCTGAATTATGTAGAATCAGAAACATATTATGTTTTAGTAGAATCAGTACCATAGAAACATGGAAAAAATTAAATATGTAAATGTAAAAAATAGTAAAATGTTGAATAGATATGTTATATATGTATTGAATCGTATAAATTTTAAATATAGCACGACAATACATTAAAAAATGGTTCGATTACATTTTAAAATGCACCGAACAAATTGTCACCACTTCAATCTAAAACCGGTTCTTTGTTCGATTTGTCCCTTTTTTATTCCCTCTCAAGCTCTGCCAATTTGGTGAACTCTGTCATCCTTTCCAAAAAGTGATCCGGCCAAGTTTCCGCCTCTTTAGCGGAATGTGTCGTCCACTCTATTGATGTAGCCAGAATAGGACACCCCGGTTTCAAATAAACCTGAACAAAATGGAGCGATCTAAGATACCCAATACAAATGATGTAGCCGGATAGGTCTTGAGGTGGACGACTTTAAAGTGGGAAAAATGTCTCTGAAAAATCATATCTCGTCAGATCGATACACTCTGTCATATGCACTTCCTATAAGATGATCCATTTCATAGAAGCATATCCACTTTGCAAATGGTGTGTTATCGCTAACACATAGAACAAGAGCATTGTGAATTTTATCGAAGTCTTTCTTTTTCCCATATAGTCGTGTGTAAAGGGCCTTATGCGCCGTCAACTCTGAAATAAGTGTTTGGCGCATAAGAGTGTAATTCCATTCTCCTTTACCAAGTAAACCAGACACGGCCCGAAACCCACAATTACCATATCCCCAACATCTACGATTCTTTCAATGTGTTTGTGCATAAAAAACGACATCCCTTCAATCTGGATAATCAGTGGTTGAATTAGTGGTTTTTAATCGGCATCTCATCCATTTGTAAATTATTGCCAAACATCTATCTCGACATCAATCTTTTTAACATCGTCATTCACCTCATCCGGCTTAGCATCGTCATTCACCTTGTCTGAAACCTTTGCAATAACTTGAGGAAACATGTCAGGGTGCACCATATCTAAAACGAGCAAAAATAGAAAATTTGTTAAAACTGTTTGTGTATCAGGGTCAATTTCGAATATTGCATATTCGAATTATAGTAGGTGGATTTCAGATATGCATATCAGAAGTGACGCTATATTTTCATCTCAAAATCAACATCAATGCAAGGAAATGAGAGATGAAATGAGAAAGGTTTACCTTAAATTGCAGTTTTCTATACTCTCTTTGATATGATAAAACACTTAATACTTGGTTTGGAGACGAAAAGTTGATTGAGAATGATTGAAGTTTTGTGGTAGGTTTTGGTTATAGGGGGAAATGAAGAGAATGAAATAATGATAAGGGTGATCATGCATAAAGTTGATATAGCAAGAATATTTTCGGATATGCATATCCGAAAATACCATTGAATGTTTAAATATAACGTTCAAATAATAATAACGTGTAAACATTAATGTTTTCTTAGATGCATTTTCGAAACACCTTAAAAATTAACTTATGATATTTTCGGAGATGCATATCCGAAACATCTTCAAAATTGATTTAGGATGCGTTCGGAGATGCATCTCCGAAAAATATTTCTCAGCAAAAATATTGTATGCATGTTTCACTACGTAACCATTGGATCTCGACCCACCACAATACCAGCCCAAACCTTCTAGGCGTTCTAATTTTTTAGTAATTAGTTTTATTTTAATCCCGGCTATCCTCTATTAAGATTATCCAAGTCCCTCCACCAGATGATCCTTTTTTAAAATCTTAATCTATTGAACTCTAAAGAATTACCATATTTGTAAGTTAAAATCTTGTGCCATAACCCATTATTTTCAGTTTTAAATCTCTAAAACCACTACTCAATTAAAGTCATGTTAAATTTTTGCAGGTTCATAATTCTTACTACCCTAGCCCCCATCACTTATATCTCTACAAATTTTCTCTCAAATAACTAAATTAATTTTTTATCTAACTCATTCATTCCTCAAAGTAATTGCTTGAAAGTAGACTCAAATCTAAAATTGATATCTTATGGAGCTTTGAAGAAGGAAAGAAAATAGATTGGAAGAGCCGTCGAGATTAATTTTATAAGCACAACCCTCCCGCCAATTGATAATTTTTTATTAGCCCGCCTTGAGAGCCTTTTGTGCACTAAATCAATTATCGATTTCCAAGTAGATGATAATCTAGAATTTTCTCCTATTTCAAACTATCCCATGCCAGATTTAACATTCACGCCTACCAGCTGGTCTTTATGAAATTTCACTTTTAGGCCGTAGATTAATTCAAACCATTTTAAAACGGATTTTATGATTCTCACATTCTCCAAACTCTTTTCAGTTATAATCGAAGTGTAATCAGCAAATTAGCGGTTAGACACTTGATTGCTATTTCCTTCAAATTTAAAACCTTTAGATTTTTCTAACTCTAACACTTTTTATCTATATATCCCCCGAGTGTTGTAAATCTCTTAGATAAATAGTCTTTTGAGATAATTCAAACTGTCTCTATCTACAAATTGTAGAAATTAACTAGCAATCCAAAGAAACGAGTCTTGGTTTGGCTTTAAAAATATTTTTTGAAATAAATACATCCTCTTTATTATTATTATTATCATAAGAAAACAATTATATTTTTAGATTCATTGGATAACTTATTTATCTAGTTTAGATATGTGTCAGATAGATTAGTTATTCAATAAATCTGGAAACAAAAGATATTTCTTTATAATAGTGACCATGGTAGTAGTAGATAGAAAACTATGTAATTGTATATTTATTGTATTGCATAATCTAATGAACATGTACATATACAATGATAGCTTGGTCAACAAGATCCTAGAATCAAGTAATAATAATGGCTATATTCCAACATAAAAATTACTAATGTTAGCCTACTAATGACTTGCTAAGAATAATAAAATACAATCAATTACATTTTGATATGATAAAAGTATCAAGGGATTATGTTAAAAGTCTCCCTTCAAACTGATGGTAAGGAATCACCCCAAGTTTGTCTTTGAGTTGATTGAATTGTGTACAGCTCAATGGTTTGGTGAGGTAGACAATGATTTGATATGATGTAGGAACATATGCTACAATAATTTTATTTTGTAGCACTTGGTCTCTAATTTAATGGATATCAATTTTTATGTGCTTTGAATGTGCGTGCATAACTGGATGAGAGGCTAATGCCTTGTCACTTAGTTGTCACACCATATGATAGGTTTCCTTGATAATGGAAGCTTGAGCTCAATAAGTAATAATTAAGTCCATGCTATTTGAGCAGTTAAATCAACCAAGGCCATGTACTCTGATTTTATACTTGATCTTGAGACAAATTTTTTTCTTGAGGACCAAGAAACTAGTGTTTCACAAAGAAAGACACATTGACCAACCATAGATTTTTTGCCATCAACACTAGT